TCGGCTCTCCCTCCATTTTGCTATATCTGGACACGTCTGGACGAGATTTTACGCGACCCCCTGACAATGAGCCATCGCACGTTTTGACCACCAGTGCCTTGCAGCTGGCGAGCCAATTTGGTCGGTCCCTCACCACCGGCCCCTACCCGTGTGTGCCCACCCACCTCTGCGCTGCCTTGCACCTGTCCCCTGGTGACGCCATACCGCGTGGCGGTCCCTCGGCTCTGCAGCTCTAGACGGACGTTCTGCGCCGGCGGCCCCGGGTTCTGGGGCTCCCGGGTCGACGAGAAGTCTGGGCGGTCGGCCGAGTCTGCATAACCTCGGACGATGGCGCCGCCGGCGTTGGTGGGGGTGACGGGGCCGTCCCCGACGACGTTGGCGTCGGGGCTGGCGCCGGGCTGCCCCTTGTTAACGACGCCCAGGGAGTCGACCTGGGCGCGCGTTGAGGTCCGGTTGCCTGCGCAAGGATTTTGGGGGTGTGAGGGGCAGAAGAGGCTTTGGCAGGCTCGGGTGTGAGTCGGCAAGATCAGCAGTGCGGGTGCGAGGCTGTTGGAGAGAAAGTCTTCAATTTCTTTCGCAAATTGAAGCCGCGCAAGCAACAAGGCCACCTGGAACAAAACTTCAGTTGCCATTGCGCACGATCAGCCAGGCTTTTGGGGCAGACGGGCTCATCACATGGATTAGCACATGTGCGCGCGCGCCTGTCCCGGTCATCAGGGTGCTGGCCTCGTTGTCTGCGCCATCCCTCCTGGCGCCCGACAGGATCACCAGCGCCTGGCCAAACGGCACGCCTGGTCAGCATGAGGAGCAACAGAGTGGGACCCGATTGCATGGCAGGGGCGGAACCACACACGCGCATCAGAAATCAGGGCAACATTCATGCACGCACACTTGCGCTGCATCACCCAACTCTTGCCGAGGGGCCTCCTGCAGTCAGAGGTGCTCATCAAATATCATAAGCAGTGCGGCGAATGCAGCGGCGGTTGAGTATTTCTGAAGTTGGCTGGGACCCCTGACGCCGGCTCACCAAATTGGCTGGTCACAGCCTTCTCGCCGGCGTTGCTGCTGGTGCCGCCCAGAGCCTGGGCGGCTGCATGCGCAGGGCGGGGAGTCCGCGCGAAGCTAAATTGGGCCGGGTGTGCAAGTCGCGCGCACCTGGCGGCGGCTACCTCATCGCGCACGGCTGCATGACACTTACAAGCACACGTGTGAAGCTTTCAGCCGCTGTGCTACGAGGATCGCTATGCCGGAAAACAATGTGCCCCCTATCCAATATCAACCAACATCAATCCCCAGCAGCGGCGCTCGCGCGCACCCGCGTCCGAGGCAGCGCCGCCCTCGGAAACCGTGAAGCCTGACACCGTTCCTCCTGATCCGAGGTCTTTAGCTGCAGAAGGATACAAAAGGCGGCACGCACGTTGCCAAAACACCATGCATGAGCACTGATAAACACAGGGTTTCACAGCAGGTGAGGGTCAGCAGATAGAGCCTTGTGATTGGTCGTGTCTCGCGCGCTGAACACTTGGCTGGCAGTGGTATTGGAAACCAGCGAGCCACTCAAGCCAGCTCGAACCACCAGGTCAAGTTGTGCAAGCAAGGCCCAGTGCAAGCACTCCAACACACCGTGTGAATAAAAAGCCTCAATCGTGCCTCGGGGTCGGGCCCCTGCTATGCGCGGCCACTCACAGCTGCGGTTGTCATCCGAGATGATTGATTTCGCCACCGCCGTCGCGCTGCTGTTCGTTTTGGCCACGCTGAAGCGGGGGTCGATGGCGGCGCTGCCCGATATCCCGGCGCCCCCAGTCCTGAGAGGGGTCTCTTCGAGGCCCGTCACAGCGCGCCGCCGCTCGCCGGCCGACGCCCCTGATGCAGAGGAGTCCGCGGCGGCGATGCTGCCGACGCGCGGGACGACTGCATCGGGTGTGCCAAGGACGATAGGGAAGCGTGAGACGGGCTGCCAGGTCCAGGGCACTGATTGCATTTCGTTTTTTGAGACCATGCACGTGTGTGGCCGCAGCAGGCAAGTGCATGCTATGTAGTGCATTTGACGCATGACGAGGAGATGGCATGCCATGTGCACGTGCGGGCAGGAGCATCTGATGCCGTGGGGTCCAGTGCTACCCAGGCACGGGCGCCTGCAAACAACACATTGGCGAGCCATCAATGTCGACTGACGTCCCACGCAGCTGCTCCGCGTTGGCTCACCTGCAGCATTTCCGTTGATGGCGGAGAGCAGGCCGCCAAACACGCGTCCCAACGAGCCGGTGCCCTCAATGGACGTGCCGCTGGGGTAATCGTCAAAGCCCCCAACCAGGAAGCTGCCTGCAGGAGCTGCTTGGCGCAGCCGCCGCAGGGAAGTTGGGACGCTGGCGGCGTGTGGCGGCAGTCCTGGCGGCAAGGTCAGGTAGTGCCTGGTTGTGTGAGAGTTGATAGCTGCTGCTGTCGTCGTCACCGCTGCATCGCAGCCCGCCGCCAGCATCAGGGCTGTCAGCCAGAGGCAGCAATTCAGGAACACGAACTTGACGACGTCGCTTGGTCTCACTATTGCAAACGATTTTTGGACCTTGAATGTGTCGTGGTTGGCGCATCCACGCTGCCAACGTTCTGACATGGGGGGCATGTGCTTTGTGCAAGGTAGAAAACAATTTGCCATGCCTCACGATACCATACCTGCAGCCTGTCAGTCCTATCCTACGGCTCGTATCGGCTCTTCCGATGGTCTGATCAATGATCCGCATTGTGAGTGATGAGTCCGTCAACGCAGATATGAAACTTGATTGCGAGAGTACGGCTGGATTTCTCGATACTAAGACCTGGACACGATGGTGCATCTCAAACTCAACCTGCGCATTGCATTGACTGGAGGCGCACGTGTTGACTGGCACACATACGGTACGTATGAGCCAGCCAAACAACGCCATGCTATTCATCGTCATGCAATTCAGGACTATGACTATGATAGGACCAGCCTGGTCAATGATTGCTTTCACTTGCGGTGTTGACATTGGCTGCTTATTGGCATAAACAGCTTGCTGGCTACTCACACGAGGCACCACCTGTGTGTGAGCATAGAGTTGCCTCACTGCGTCGCTGTTATGATCACACAATGCGTGGCAAGCACGTGCTTGCATGCGCAATGCGACCCAAACCTATCATCCTTTGGTGTCCGTTGCCCTACCAAAACTCGTCCACAGCAGCCGCTCTCTCTCTTGCCGCCGACGCCCTCTGCCCAGGATTGTTTCAGCGCATGGGCCTGAGTGAGCGCCTGTGGCATGTGACATGTACCTGCCTGGCATGTTAGGGGTCATGAACAAGCCGGCTTCATGGTGACAGGCAGTAGGTGGGTTGCTGCTTTATCCAACAATGCCGTTGCGTGGAGGCAACTTGAAGCAAGCACGCAAGCAAGGGAATCTGCGCAAGGATACGCGTTGGACGCTCAAGGCGATAAAAAAATCACACGCATAATATATGTACAATGACCAGGTAAGGTGTACAGGACCGCCTCATGCCTTGTCAGCATGTGCTGGGTCCCCTCTGACGGGCGGCGAAGTGCGCTGCCCTTGACGCCGGCTGCGCGGCGGCGGCGTGTCGTCGCCATCACCGCCATCCCGCGGGACGCCGCGGCCGCGACCCCTGCCAAGCGATCCCCCGTCCGCGCGGCCGCTGCGGCCGGGGGCTGCCTTGGATGGCTGCGTCGCCCGTGTCAGTACCGCCGCTTTCAGCCGGCAAAGCCACGGGAGGATCAACCGTTCGAGCCGCCTTGCGTCCCTTGCGTCGCGGCGCCGCAGCGGCCACCCCACTGTCGTCAGGGTCCCCGCCCTCTTTGCATGATTCCGTTTCGCACTGCTGCTGCCCGCTGCCCCTCGTCGGCTCACCAGGGACAGAGGGCCCCCAGCCGGCCGCCGCCTCCCGTGCGTTCGCGCCGTCGGCGCCGGCGTCCTCGGCCGCGGCACCACCTTGGCTCCCGCCGGCGCCGCCCCTCTCTGGTTTGCGGTCGTCTCCGGCGCCAGCGAATCGGAACAGGTCCAGGAGGGAGGCGGGCACCAAGCCACCCCCCTGGCCGGCCCGCGCCGCCCCTTCGTACGCCGCCGCCACCGCCGGCGACGCCCTCTGCAGTGGCAGCGGCCCGCGGCGGCGCTTGGAGGCGGGGGTTGCGGCGTCAGCGACGCCGGCGGGGGCTGGCGCGGCTGCGGGGCCGCTGTCGTCGGCGCTGGTTGATAGGATGCTGATGACCTCAGCGGGTGGCCCCTGATTCTGCGGCTGCTCCTGTTGCTCCTGTTGCTGCTGCTGCTGCTGCGCCCGCCTCCGAGGAGGCGGCGGCGGCTCTTGCGGCACACCCTTCGCGCGCCGCTTATTGGGCTGCTGCTGCTGCTGCTGCTGCTGCTGCTGCTGCTGCTGCTGCTGCTGCTGCTTGCCGCCGCCCTTCACGCCCGCGACCAGCGCGGCTGCCGCCACCGGCGCCGCCAAACCTGCAGCCGCCTCGGCCTGCACGGGTGACTCGTCCGAATCCAGGAAAACCGGCTCCGCCCCCTTGGCCCGCCGCGGCCGCTTCGCCTGCGCCCCCGCGCCTGCCCCTCGGCCCCCGCCCCCGCCGCCGCCGCCCGCCGCCGCCATCGCGCCGAACAGCGACCGGATATCGGGCGTCCTCAACTTCCGCCGCCGCCGCTCCGCCGCGCGCGCTGCCGCCTGCCTCCGGGTCACCTCCGCGTGGCACGCGACGCAGAGAGTCCGGAGGTTCTCGAGCTCGCAGCCGCCGCCGCCCTCGTAGACCGCGAGGATGTGGTCTGCGTGCCACGCCATGCCCTCGGTCGGCTGCGCAACCAGCCGGTCGACGATGCCAGCGCACCGCCGCCCCGCGAGCCGCGGCGCGAGCCGGCGCACCGCCGCGCGGCGGCGCTCCTCCCAGCCGGCGGGGCCGCGGGCGATGGACTGCAGCGTCTGGACGAGCGCGTGGCAGTCCAGGCGGCACAGCTGGCAGACGCCCCGCTCGAGCTTGAAGAGCGCGCGGCGGATCGCGCCTGCGCGCGCGCGTTTGGAGGAGCCGGGTTCGGTCCAGGATAAGGAGGGGCCGCCGTGGCTCAAGCGGCGCGACGCCGGTTTTGCAAGCCATCTGCGGGCCCTGGGGATGTGATGGCGTGCTCACGCCAGGCCGAACCCACAGGCGCATGCAGAATCCTGGAGAGCCCTGCGAGAATTCTGTCAATTGAGAACCCCACTCCCATTGATGGATCAACCCCCTGCGGAATGGACACCCCACAAACCGCCCACGAAACCCATTGTCAACCCCTTGCTCAGCGAGCCTCCCACCAAACCGCATGCCCATCACAGCGGCCCGCCCACCCGAGCTGGACTTGATGTAGTAGGACCTCTCGCAGTCCAGCCCGCAGAACAAGTCCACGCCGCCCTCCAGCACAGAGTCCGCCGGCGCGTCGCAGTCCGGGACGGGCTTCAGGCAGTGCAGGCATAGCCGCGCCCCCGCGCCGGCCTCGCCGCCGGGCCCCGGCCCGAACGGCTGCCGGTAGCGGGCGAGACGCGCGCCGCGGCCGCCTGCAAAGCGGACTACCACATCCCGTAGCACGGCCCCAGGCGGCAGCGCACGCTCGTCCCCGCCCTGCAGGTATCGGGCCGTCCCGACCCCCAGCGCGCCGCTGGCAGCGGCGGCGGCGCCGAGCGCCTCGGCGGCGTCCTGCAGGCATGAGGAGACGACGCGCCCGTGCAGGCGGTTGCGGGTGACAGCGCGCAGCTCGGCCCAGTCGCAGGCGAAGGTGCGGGCCGCTGACAGCAGCTCCAGCAGCTGGTCGCGAGTCAGAGGGGCCGCGGGCGCGACGACGCCGAGGGGCCCGAGGAACCCGGGGTGGGAGCGGCAGGCGGGCGCGGCGGGGGGCGCCAGCTGCCCCTGGTCTGCCTCCTCATCCACCTCATCCTGCTGCTGCTGCTGCTTCTGCTGCTTCTGCTGCTGCTGCTGCTGCTGCTGCTGGTGTTGGTTGGGTAAGTTGGGGTCCACCCGCGCATCCGCAAACTCCGCCAGCGGCGTGGCGGCGACGAACCCGGGCGTCTCGTTGGCGGCCGCCAGGCCGAGCGCGAGGCCGCCCGCGCCGCCCGCACTCGCGCAACGGGTGTGGCGATTCGGCGCCGAGGGTGGCGCCTGGCCTAGCGGCGCGGCTGCAGGGGCCGCTCCAGGGGATCCTCGCTCCCCAGTAAGCGGTGTCGCCGCCACAAACCCCGGCGTGCCGCCGGCCGAGCCCTCGCGGCCGCCGCAGCCGCCCCGCTGCTGCCGCCCCTCGCGGCTGCCGCTCGCCGGCGGCGCCGGCGCAGGCGGAGGCGCCTGCGCTTGTTCAGCGCCCGCGCCGCGGCCTGGGGACGGCAGGCCGGCGTCAAAGGCAGACGCGCCGGCGAGCTCCGGCGAGGGCAGCAGCCCGCAGAGGGCGGACCGCGCCTGCCCGCGCCGCGCGCGCTGGCCGCCGGTGCTTCCGCCGCTGGCACTGTCGCGGCCGCCGCCGCTGCTGAGGCAGGCGGCGAGCACCTCGGCCAGGGGGCTGCGCTGGCTGCCGCTGGGGGTGGCTGCAGCTGCGGCCTCAGCGCCACCCGCGGCCTCCGGCCGCTGCGGCACCCCAGGCTGGCGGCGGCTGGCCGGCACGGGCGTGGACGCGCCGAGCCCCTCGCCGCCGCCTGCGGCCGCCGCCGATGCGGGCGGCGATTTTGCCCCGCTGACCCCCTGGCTGCCGGCCCCAGCACGCCCAGCCGCTGCGTCCTCGCAGCCTCCCAGCGCGCAGCTTGCTTCCATCTGCGGTGTCTCCCCAGCTTCCTGTGCCTGCTCTTCTGCCTGCTGCAGGTTCACCTGCTGGACCTGGAGGTGTCCCACCACGCCCTGCTGCTCCTCCTGCTGCTGCTCCTCTGGCTGCTGCTGCTGCTGCTGCTCTAGCTGGTCTAGCTGGTCTAGCTGGTCTAGCTGCTGCTCCTGCAGCCGTTCTAGCTGCTGCTGTTCCTGCTGTCCTAGCTGCTGCAGCTGCTGCTGCTCCTGCCCCGGCGCCGGCCACCTCGCGATGACGTCATCCAGCATCGGGCCGCCGCCCTCCCGCTGCATCACCAGGAGCTCCAGCGGCAGGCTCAGGCCCAGGGGGCGGCTGCCGTCGGGCGCCAGGTGGAAGTGCAGCCGCGAGGTGTACGGGCTGACCTCGAACCACACCTCCGGGGCGCCCTGCGCGGGCTGCTGCTGCTGCGGCCCCTGCTGCTCCTGCTGCCGCGCTTGCGTTGCAGGGTGCTGCTGCACCGCAGCCGCTGCCTCCGTGCGGACTGGCTGCGGGGGCTCGGCGGCTGCGGGTCGCGGTTTCTTGGAGGGATTCTGCTCCGGATGGAAGGCGGGCGGCCGCTTCTTGGGCGGCGATGGGCCCGTGAGATCGATGATGTCATCACCTGCTGCGGCCACCGCCGCTGCTGCCGCCGCTTCTGCTGCGTGCGACCCTGCTGCCGCCGCGCGCGCCGCAGCCGCTTCGCGCCCGTCCGCCGGCTCCGGCGAGTCTGGAGGGCCCCCGTCGCGCCTCTGCCGCTGCTGCTGCTCCGACGCCTCTTCCGCGGTTTGCGCCGGCGGCCCCGCCGCCGCCTGCGTCGCCTGCGTCGCCTGGGTGGCGTGCTCCAGCGTCGCCAGCGGCTCCGCGCCCATCTCCATCACGCGGTCTACCACAAGCCCCATCCCCGCGCGCCCCCGGGCCGCCGCCCCCGCAACGCCACCGCCGCCGCCGCCACCGCCGCCCTCGGCCCCTCGCCCTCCGCTGTCTGCGCCGGCGCCCGCGCCCGCGGCGGCCGCCGCGCCAGGCCGCGCGTCGCCGTCGTGGACCTGCGTGATCTGGCAGAGGCTGTTGTTCAGCCGCTGCCACCGCTTGTCGTCGGACGTGCCGCGGGCACATAGAAAATAGACGTTGACGGCGCTGCGCTGGCCCTTGCGGTGGGCCCTGTCCTCGGCCTGGCGCACCAGGGCCACCTCATCTGGAAGCTCAACAAACACCACCACCCCCGCCGTCGCGAAATCGAGGCCTGTTCAGTCGGGGTGGAGTTTGGAGGAGGGTGATTTGAGACCGGGGGGCGAATCAGGCCAGGGATGGAGCCGTCCGGAAGGTGTGTGTGGCACAGGGACGGGAGCGGGGCCGGGTGCGGGGTAGACCGCCTGCTGGGTGGATGCGCGGCCTGGCGAGCGGCTGGGACAGAGAGCGGCTGGGGCCCCAGCCTGCCCGAACGCCCACCAAGCAGCTCCTCGCCTGTGCCATTCAAGAAGCGGTGCGCCAAGCCCAGGGCGGCACGGCCTCCCTGGCGGCGGCCGCGCCCCTCCATTCCCCTCATCCTTGCCAGGGCCCCCGCCCCGCTCACCGACCGCGGCGGCGGTGATGCTCAGCAGTGCGACCCTGACGGAAGGGTCGCACCTGAACCGCTGCACTGCCGCCTGCCGCTCCCGGCTGTCGTGGCTGCCATCCACGCGCACGTAGCCCACGCCGCGCCAGCCGCTGCCGCCCTCGCCGCCCTCGCCGCCGCCGTCGGCGGCGCCGCTCCCCATGCTATCGGTGTCGCCCGCCGCGGCCGCGGCCGCGGCGGCTGCAGAGTCCCCGTATGTGTAGCCGCCCAGAGCCTCTGCCAGCTTGTCCATCACATCCCTTGGAAAGGCACGCAAAAGGGAGGCGTTCGCGTGCGTCGGGCGCCGGGTGCCGACACTGTGCACCGCGCGGCTGCGCCGCCAGCGGAGCTGCCGCGCCGGAGCCGGCGCCGGCAGGGTCCTTGCTGGAAACTGATGTTTGCAGAGGGGTGCCAATCCTGCCGCCCGCTAGCTGCTTCTCTGTGTGACACCGGATAGCCGAAGCCAAACAGGCGCACTCCCCGCACCTGTGGTGTGCAAAAACGAGGAATTTCGGCAGCCCCGCCACGCCGCCCGCCCTCCGCCTGCCGCCGCTGCCGCCGCTGTCCGCGCCGCCGCCACCAGCGCCCGCGCCGCTGCTGGCTTCACACCCGGCCGCTCCCACGCTCGCGGCAGCGCCCTGCCCCTCGGCGCCTTGCTGCTTGGCACCTTGCTGCTGCTGCTGCTGCCGCCGCTGCCGCCCGGGCGGCCTGCCGGCACCCTGGCCGCCGCCGCCGCCAGCGGCGGCCCCCTCGCTGGCGGCTCCGAGCGCCGACAGCAGCCAGTCGATGACATCAGGCAGCTTCGCTAGCGCCGTCTTGTGCGCCCCAGACATCTTCGGCGGCACGCCCGCCTCCCGCGCCTCATCTCCCCCTTCCCCTCCGCCGCCAGACCCCGGCCTTCGACCGCTCTCGCCGCGCTCTCCGCCGCCGCCGCCGCCGCCCCCGGGCGCCGCCCGCTCGTCTTCCGACGGCCCGTCCTCGTCGTCTGAGCCGCCGATGGGGACGTCCCGCTTGCCGTCGGGGCCGACCGGCCAGCGGTCTGGGGGCGGCTTGGGGAGTCGCACCACCTGAGGAACGGGGAGCAGGGGACAGGGCCGCTTGATCATGGTTTCGCAACAGCGTTGAGCTGAGGTGATGGGGCCAATCGAGACAGGGCTAAGGAGAATTTTGGGTGATGGGGGCCCGGAGGGCTGAGCCTGGTAATGAGTGTGGGTGTGCTGTAAGTATGCTGTGAGTGCAAGCCAACGCGCCCCTGTTGGGCCTGCACGCACTGAGGAAAGAGGCGATGAGAAGGCGCGAGATGCCACAAGCGTTTCAAGGGGCGGTCACGATACTCAGATAAGACCTCCTGCCACACGTGTACATGTGCATGACCGAGCGCCGACGTGCGCCCAAGGCGGTGCCCTCCCCTGCAAATGCCAGCAGCCACAAGGCAATCCCGCGCGCCCTTCCGTCCCAAGTGTGGTCACCTGGACACGCTCGACCCACACACGACGTGTCACTCCCTCCCTCACTCACACCTTTCATACATGCACAACAAGCGCACACACGCTCGCAAACTCTTACACACCCTCTCTCACGCACACACACACACACACACACACACGCACGCGCGCACCTGCCGGCGCTTGGGCGGCAGCTGGGACAGCACTTGGGCCTTGAGGCGCCGTATCATGACCTCTCGCACCAGCAGGCCATGAAGCTCTGACAGCCGCGCGCCGCCGGCGTTGTCCCACCTCATGCGCACCTCCCCGCGGTGCGTGATGGCCGGGACAAGTCGACGGTCGCAGTACCTGTGGTTGGCAGGTAGCGTGTGTGTGTATGTGAGTGTGTGTGTGTGTGTGCGTGCGTTGATGTGTGTGTGTGTGTGTGTATGTGAGTGAGTGTATGTGAGTGAGTGTATGTGAGTGAGTGTATGTGAGTGTGTGTGTGTGCGTGCGTTCATGTGTGTGTGTGTGTGTGTGTGTGTGTGTGTGTGTGTTGAGGGAGAGAGCGAGGTGAGGTTTGAGGTGCCGGCTGGTTGTGTTCAGGGCTGGCAGCGTACCAAGGGCGGGGGCCGCGGCCGCAGCTTGGCAACGCGCATGCCGAGCAGCACGCGCGAGGATGGGGCGGGGCCGCCACTGCCGGCGGGCACGGGCGCCGCGCAGCCCCAGCGCAGGCATGGCGGGGTGGAAGGGAGGAGGGGGGCTGGCTCGCCTGTGGGAGAAGGCCTCCTTGCTGGCGCCCAGGAGGCCGGGCCTGATGGCGTCGACCTGACAAGGGAGGGCGTCGTGGGGGGTTGGGAGGAGTGGCCAGAGGGGCGCAGCGCTCAGTCCAGCAACCTCGACCAAGCGGCGGGGACACGGCCACGGCAAACGGCCGTCGGGCGACCGCCGAGTCGCTGGGTCGCCATGGTGAGCTGTGAACGGCCCAGGCAGGGACAGGCAGCTGCCCGTCCCCCTTGTCGGTTCCCAGGCGGCGTACTGACGATGTGATGCTGCCGCTGGGCCTGCGCTGCGCCGCCCCGCACCCGGACCGCTCAAGTCTCTGGCTTGCACCCAATGACACTGGTTCGAAACCTGAGAGCTCGCTCGACCCGTTCACAAAGCCCCAGCCCATACCCCCAAACACCAGATGTCACCTGTCTGAAGAGGTCGTACGGCCGCGACAGCGACGGCGTCCCGGTCAGCAGCACCGCCCTCCGCGCGCGCCGCGCCGCCGCGACGCACGCCTCGGTGTGCGGGGAGTCCGTGTTGCGGGTGTTGGTGGTGCGGAGGTTGTGGGACTCGTCCACAACGACGACGCCCCAGGGCAGCGCGGCCATGCAGTGGGCTGCGGGCGGCGACGAGGGCAGCCGGATGCATGCAAGCCATGATATGAGGGGCAGGGTAGTGGATTCAGCAACTCCATTCAGCAGCGGAGCTGTTGGAACAGTTGCAGAGTAAATTGCAATTCAGAGGCGCCAATACGAGTCGCGTCCGGCACCAGGAGCAGGCGGGGCCTGATGCCAGTGATTGGTCCAAACCAGGCGTGTTTCTGCACCTGGGCCTGCGCACTGCAGAGGGGCGGTGCTCCCGCCGCCAGGCAA